CTTGACTCGTAAAGCCCACTTATTTTATACAAAATTTGTTTTCAATAAAACACTTCTGACCAGCAAAAACCTGTCGAGAACTTCATTTGAGACAACTACTGATCTGAAGCTATATAAATGCCTGTATTCGATGCTGCTACAAGCCACTTGTTGTTTGTTTTATACCATTGTCACTGGCTAAAAGGGTTTCAGAATAACGCACAATCTCTAACGTTTGTGAAGCATTTAAATAGGGAATGTGTCGCTTCCTCATAGGCGTTTCCTGGCTTGACCATGGTCCTTGTAAACGTGGACTCAAGTAAAGAGACTTTTGCTTGTTTCGACAGGTGTCGATCTCCTCTGCGGAGCGCATGCTGAAGGAAGGCGGAAAACCGGGAGAGAGAGCTCCATCTAAAAAGGGCAAAGAGAAGGGAAAAGAGGCTAAAGAAGTGAGTTCTGCTACGATCGACAAAACCTGTTTCTGTTTTCTGTAAAATTCACCGGTATTACATATCCTGACATTATGCAGTTCAGCTACTTGTTGCAGGGGAGGGCTGTGAAGTGGTGAGAGAGCGGTCAGCCCAAATCAGTGTGGCGTGGAGTTGGATCACGAAAGCGACGCCATGTGTTGGTTCTCGCTTTCCAATCTGAGTTTTTTTGGGGTAATTGATTTTCCCCTTCTCCTCAATAACAACTTTTCTAAAATCCTCTCCAATGCGGAATAATTATGGTAGACATAGGGCCACATTGTCGAGGTGCGCACTAAAATCACATTTAATTTTTCATTTACTTATTTATCATGGTTGATGGTTGAATCAGATCCCCGCCTCGTCTTCTTGGAGCTTTCAATTGTAATGTCAGCGTTTTCACAGACCTCTTAAAATCTATTTGGAATCTAAAACTCACCTAAATATTAATAGGTTGCGAAATCCTGCGAATGCGGCGTCCAGGTAATTCACCTGCTTGGAAGCAAATGGCATGATTATATGGTGATTAGGGAAATCTCTTTATATACTAGTCTAGGCTATAAATGATTCTCCGAAGTTCCTCGTGGTTTAAACTGTTGTCTTCTTCTCTTGTCTCAGGATGACAACAGTGCCACCCTCATTGTTCATGATGCTGGACCCTCAGCTTCTCCTTCTGTAATATTCTCTATCTATTGTTTCATTTCTTTGTCCTCTTTTGCTCTTTTACTTTGTTCTTGTAATGTTGGTGAAAGCACTATTTTAGTACTGCCGCTAAAATGCAAGGTTGAGTGTCCTGTTACTTGCTTGTGTCTCTGCCTTGAACTGTGGATTAACAGCTTGGATGATTCTGTGAAGTTTCTTTTCTGACGTGTGGCGGAGGAGGGTCTCAACAACATTTTGTGTGGGGAGGCCCCGCCCCGAGGTCCAACCTTTTACTCTTTTATACATGTATACGAGTTTTGAGAGACAAGGTATCACTTTCGCATACCTTTTTCTTTGGGGTAACGTTATGTATGGTAGTGTGTCTCACAACTACTGATTAAATTTGGTACTTTGGATGATCAAATGAAAAATACATGAGTGTAGTATAGTAACCATAATAGTATTAGTGACTGTTTTAACTTGCAACAGTTGTAGATAATAGTCGGTGGGTTAACGCCGGCGTAGTTCCACAGTACCCTCCCCAGATTAAGGCATGATAGTTAAGTTCTTATTTGTCGATTAATTGTTTTATATCATTATTTCGGTTCTTTCGTTTAGTCTCAAACAAAAGTTGATAGGTCAGGTGGGAAGACCATATTACCAAACTCCATGGAAGGATGGGCTACTTTTGAACTCTCCGAAAAGGTAAAAACAAAGACTTGCCTTATATGAATATTAGTTTATTTTATTATTATTTATTGGTATGTTTTTAGCTTTGTTACTGGTTGCTAGGCGGACATCAGATAGTCTCCTTCGCAGCGCTGATAACAGAGTGCTCTGTGGAAAGAGAGGCAGATATCTAAAAAAAACTTTGAGAGTATTTTTAGAGTCTTTGTAGTTTGGGAGGTTAGACCTCCCAAATTACAAAGACCCAAAAAACAATACGCACTTGGGACGCATCTTAAATACCTCAAAACAGCCCACAGTCAGGTAATTCGTTTGCTTTTCAAATTAATGTACTGTGGATTTACTCTTAATGTGTCTTTTCTCACAGCTACAAGAATATTTTAAATGTGACATCACTGGAACTATGATAAACAAAGCTACCTTCCAGAAACCGGTAAGTTGTTGGTGATATAAACAATACGCGTTAAATATGTCCTCAAACACACCATCTTCGGCTAGTGAGGTATTCTGCTTCAATACAAATTGCGAACCAGCAATCAGGTGCTCGTGTTCACATTTGGGCCGTAGTGATCCAAAATGATCTGGTGTTTGGCTTTCCCGGTGGCCTTTACGCGATCAACTTACGATCGTCTGTACGGGTTAGCTCTTCCAGCTCTTCTCGTAGCTTGACAGCTGACAAAAAGAGCCACCCGAGAAAGTGTACTAGCAGGTTCACATTATCCCAT